CAAACTATCCAGCAACGAACAGAAAACCACAAACACGCATGTTCTCACTCATAGGTGGGAACTGAACAATGAGAATCACTTGGACTCAGGAAGGGAACATCACAACACCGGGGCTATTCTGGGGAGGGGGGAGGGAGCGAATTGGCATTGGGAGTTATACCTGATGTAAATGACGAGTTGATGGGTGCATCACACCAACATGGCACAAGTATACATCAAGTATACATATGTAACAAACCTGCACGTTATGCACATGTACCCTACAACTTAAAGTATAATAATAATAAATAAATTTAAAAAAAAAAAAAAGGCTAGAAGCACAGCTCATACTCGTTGGCCTGAATCTCAAGCAGTTATGTGATAGAAAGTCCTCCATTATCATCCCGGTAATCGCCACACTCACAGACAAGTCAGAATGAATAGTCACGCCCAGGCTTAGATTGCTCGACGCTGTCAAAATCCCAGTGGATTTCCCTGCATCCACCTGCTCTCGATCTGCTCTGCCACATGGAACACACTCTGCCAGACACCCTCTTCCCAAGTGATGTTCAAAGAACTGAAAGACACAAGTGGTGTGGGTGGCACAGAGAGATGCCTGTTAGTCTTGAGTCAGAATTTGGTGGGTGAGTAGTCTTGGGCCCAGGCATGGATTCCTTTTGTCACGGTAAGTAGATCAGCATCATGCTTCTCCCCACAGACACTTCCCATGCCACATACAGACAACCATGAGGCTGGGCAGAGAGAACTTCCTGAGCCTCCCGGATCACCAGGAACTATCACATCACCAGACGATAGTCAGAGCAGGAATGATGCTGATGATGAGATGGGCTTCCTTTTATCTGAAACGAAGTTTCTATGAGTAATTCACAATTAAGAAACAGATTAAACACTTACTTTCAACAGATTCATAACTTTTAAGAAAGAACTTCCCCTTTGACAATCCCAAAAGGATTGTGGAAAACAATGTAAACAGCAACAAGGAAAAGTCCTGCTGATTGGTGGAAACTTTGGAGGCCAGGCGTATAAAAGGTCCAGATTGCAAGGGGTCATCACATTCTGGGAAATTCACCTCTGAATAGAAGCCCACCCTCCACCCCGGACACCATGACCAACTGTTGCTCCCCTTGCTGTCAGCCTACATGCTGCAGGACCACCTGCTGCAGGACCACTTGCTTCCAGCCCACCTGTGTGTCCAGCTGCTGCCAGCCTTGCTGCCACCCAATTTGCTGTCAAAACACCTGCTGCCAGCCCATCTGTGTGACCAGCTGCTGTCAGCCTTCCTGCTGCAGCACACCCTGCTGCCAGCCCACCTGCTGTGGGTCCAGCTGCTGTGGCCAAACCAGCTGTGGGTCCAGCTGTGGCCAGACCAGCTCCTGTGCACCTGTCTACTGCAGGAGGACCTGCTATCACCCCACGTGTGTCTGCCTGCCTGGTTGCCTAAACCAGAGCTATGGATCCAGCTGCTGCCAGCCCTGCTGCCGCCCAGCCTGCTGTGAGACCACCTGCTGCAGGACCACTTGCTTCCAGCCCACCTGTGTAACCAACTGCTGCCAGCCTTCTTGCTGCTGATCAAGTCCCAAGAGAACCACCGTCCTCACACAACAACTTTCTGCTCGACTGACTGATCTTTTGGGGGACTAATTTACTTTGCTGCTGACAGCCACCATGCTCTCACCCAAATTTTTATGAATTCTATGCGTGTATGAGTCTTGGGAATCTGTTTCACGGATGGCAAAATACTTCATCCTGATTCTCTTTTTCCTTCCACCTTGTGGATCATGTGCCAGCTTTGTGTGTTCTCAATTCGGGGTCATGGTCTCAGCTTTGACTCAAGATTCAAGAGCTTCGTTCTCTGCTTCTAAGGAATTTAGGTTTCTGCAATTGATCAATAATCTTTGCAATCGTTTTTTTGTTTTCAATATCCTCCTTATGTTTCTTGTATCCTTCTTTCTTGTGTTCATGATAACTTTGGGTTATGTCCCTGGTGGCAGAAGTTCTTAGCTATAAGATTCTGAATAAACTCTGAAGTATCCTCATCTCATAAGGTGTTTTGTTTTATTTGAAAGAATTTCTGATATGGGATTTACACACATATCATATACCATAGGTATTATCCAACTTGATTCTCAAAGCAGATGGTTGTGTATTGTTACCTTCATTTTTTCAGCTGAGAATAATTTAATGTGTGATGATATGTAGCTAATAAGGACAGATTCTGATCCAAGCTGAGGTCCTCTCTTTCTACCAAGGACACTTACATTTAACTCTCAATATAGTAGAAATGACATTGGAAGTCAGCACTAGCAAGACATGCACTTGAGTTTCTTTAACAATGAGAGGATTAATCACTTATATTTGCAGATAACATTTTTGTTCACATAAACTTAATTTCCTACTTAGTTTCCCACACCTCAGTGAGCAACAGTTGCATGATATGGCAGCAGGGACTGCATTTAATGGCTGCCCTGAATGCAGAGATCTTTTCATCTCAGCCTCTGACCTGCCATTCATTCCATTCACCTGCATCAAAAACTGCTAGAGAATTCATTGTGGACTCATAAGAGGGAGTCTCATTTGAATAAATTTATTCTTGGCATCATATAAATAAAATATTTATATGGCCCCCTCTCCTGGATACCTATTGACAAATTAAATGAAACTAAGTTATTCCTTGTAAAATACAGACCATACATTATGCCACATTAAGACAATTTGTCCCCTACTTGAAATCTTATGAGGAAAATTAACTAAGAACAAAGCTGAGAACTGAGAAACTGCACACTGGGCGTGTACGACTTGGCACAATCCGTAATCTCTGAGCCGAGGAGGGAATAAAACAACCTTCACATTTTATGAGGCCAATATGAAGCATCTAAAGAAACAAAAACTTGTGTTTCCAGGGAAATCAGAAGAAGGTAAGAAAGGAGCCAAGTAGAACTTGTGCCTTCATAGAAGTCATGATAGACAGAGGTTGGTGCTTCGGGTCCTGAACTGATGTAAGATAAGTATTCACTCATGTGAGGATTGATTGATGCTGACTCTGAGAGAAATTGAAAAGTCGGGGACCTGGGTCACCTTCTTGGGACCTCCTACCAGCATGGGAGTGGTGGAAATACCTCTGGTGAGCTAACAATGTGGATTTCCATGACAGATGCCAACTTTTGAGACTGCAAATCTAGATGCTCTGAAGACTTGGCTAAGAGATAACGGCCGCTTACTGTGATCATCGTTCAGGTGTGAAGTAAAGGATATGAAAACTAGGATATTCTCTTGACTAGCATCAGTTATGAAAGATAAATAAGTTCATCAGTCTAATGTACAGTAATGTGAATATAGCTAAAAACACTTTATCATATATCTGAAATAAACTGAGAAGGCAGATCTTAAATGTTCACACCACAAAAATAAAAAGGAAATGGTAACTACATGACCTAATAAATATGCTATTCACAGTGAATATATATACCAGAGCATCACCTTGTATTCCTGAAATATACACAATTTTCATTTGTCAATTATACCTCAATACAGCTAGAAAAAAATGTATTTAGTTGATCTAGTTAATTATTACAAAAATATTCTTACCTTCAACGTTAAAATTAGGAATTTTCTGAACAAAAAACACTAATTCTGGGATGCCTGCTATATGATGGGTATTGGCTAAATGTTTTGTGTACATTACTATTAACTCTTTAACAAACTTTCAAAATAGATATTCATGTTCCCTTTGTAGAGATTAGAAATTTGAAGCTGAGAGAGTTATCGTATTGTCATAGATTAGTTTCTCATAGAAGAGACTCAGAAAAAATGTTCTAGTGAAAGTAGTTTACTGGGAAGTGCAGATCACACTGGTAGGGATTGGGAAGTGATACAGAAAAGGGTTCACTATTAAGTCAGTATCACAGTCACCAACTAAAGCTTATGTTAAAGGGAAAATTATCAGAAATGATGAAAAACACACAGCTAGAATTATCCTTCTTCAGGAATGAGGAAGCTAGAGTCTTTATAAATCAGCTCTCCAGAATCACTGGTTGAGTATTTTCCTCTGTGTTGCATTCATAGGTGGCATGACTTTCTACAGCTGCAATACAAGAGCCCTTAGGCACAGAGATGCAGATTTTGACAGATGGAAATTAATCCAAGCACACTAATATCCAAGATATATGGGTGAAGTCATGAAAACTTGTCTACGATCTACAATTAGCTCCACTCAAGTCAAATATTTGCTACTTAAATACGATGAACAGCCACAAGCTCTATGAGAAGGAAGAAGAGGAAGAGAGGAAGCTGAAAAAGAGAAGGGAAAGAAGATAAGAGGAGAAGGAAAGAGAAAAGAAAGAAAAACAGAATGAGAGGGAAGGAAGGAAGGAAGGAAGGAAGGAAGGAAGGAAGGAAGGAAGGAAGGAAGGGGAATAGAGGGAGGCAGGAGGGAGGAAGAGAAAGAAAGGAAGGAAGGAAGGAAGAAAGAGAGAGAGAAAGAAAGAAAGAAAGAAAGAAAGAGAAAAGAGAGAGAGGGTAGGCGGAGAAAGGAAGGAAGGGAGGAAAGAAAGAAGGAAGGAAAAAAAGAAAGAGAAAGGAAGGAAGGAAAGAAAGAAAGAAAGGAAAGAAGAAGGAAAGGAAAAGAAAGGAGAGGAAGTGAGATATAAAATGAAGGCCAATTAAATAATCTACACTTACTTCTGCTATAATACAGTGCACCCGAGTTTCATAAACTCCATTAATTATCACCAGTTCTATTCTCCCTTCACCCCTGGCCAGCACTCTTGTTGGTCTAGATAACTGCCTGATAGAGTAGCTCAGAGCTTCCTTCTTGAAGGGTCTGAGCCTCTAGTTTCTATACAATTGTCCACTGTGATTGCTATTTTTACTCATTTGTGGTTATCGCTGGGCATGAACACACTATGAGATTCTGCAATGTTATGGGTTAATTTGTGTCCCTCAAAATTCAAATTCAAATAGAATCATTTAAAATGTTATCTGATAAGATAAGTTCACACTGGAAACAATTAGGCCTCTGATTAAATATGACTGTGTCTATTACAAGGGAGAAATTCGGAGACAGTATGCATATAGTAGAAAAATTCTGTCAAACACACATGGAAATGATAGACATCTACAAGTCAAGGAGAGAAACCTGGAACAGATACGTCTCTCACAGCCTTCAGATGAAAACAATATTGCCAACACCTTGATTTCAGAGTAGAGGTCTTCATAACTTTGATAAATAAATTGAAGCCACTTTTTTTCAGTAATTCATCAGGGCAGTGCTAGTAAATTAATATATTCAGTAAACCTCCTGAGCTATTGATATATTTTGCTAAACTATATGGCTTGAGGGTAATTATCCCTCGCCAAATAGTAACTCCTTTCTCTCTCTGCTGCTTTGCTTGTATGAGGAGTCCAAAATGACTCGGCGATAAATATTACTTTTGTTTATGCCAAATAAAGAGAGAAGCAAATACTATAATTTTTATTCACATGAAAACTTTAAAAAGCCAAAACTTACCTACTGGATTACAACTTGATAGAGTGATTAGTTGTCTTTGGGAATGAATAAGAGGATATAATCAGGAAAGAATAGGATTAATTTCTATTTCCTAACCTAGTAATGGAGCCATAGATGTATTTACAAAATAATACGATATCAAGCTGGAAATTAATACTTTACATTCTTCTCAAATGAATGGTATACCTAGAAAATGTTCTAAACATGTTAGAATTCCACGATGAACCAGGCGTCATATCAACTCATCTAATTCCTTCATCAAAAAGAAAGAGAGAAGACATAACGCTTACTGTGCTAGTAACCGGGTTGCAGCTAGAGCCAGAGTGCATGCTGGTTGGCCTGAATCTCAATCAGTTATGTCATAGAAAGTCCTACATTCGATTTGCATTTCTCTGATGGCCAGTGATGATGAGCATTTTTTCATGTGTCTGTTGGCTGTATGAATGTCTTCTTTTGAGGAAATGTCGTCATATCCTTTGCCCACTTTTGATGGGGTTGTTGTTTTTTTCTTGTAAATTTGTTTGAGTTCTTTGTAGGTTCTGGATATTAGCCCTTGTCAGATGAGTAGATTGCAAAAATTTCTCCCATTCCTGTAGTTGCCTGTTCACTCTGATGGTAGTTTCTTGCTGTGCAGAAGCTCTTTAGTTTAATTAGATCCCGTTTGTCAATTTTGGCTTTTGCTGCTGTTGCTTTGGTGTTTTAGACATGAAGTCTTCCCATGCCTATGTCCTGAATGGTACTACCTAGGTTTTCCTCTAGGATTTTATGGTATTAGGTCTAACATTTAAGTCTCTAATCCATCTCTGAATTAATTTTCGTATAAGGAGTAAGGAAAGGATCCAGTTTCAGCTTTCACTTAATGGCTAGCCAATTTTCCCAGCACTATTTATTAAATAGGGGAATCCTTTCCCCATTTCTTGTTTCTCTCAGGTTTGTCAAAGATCAGATGGCTGTAAGTGTGGTATATTTCTGAGGACTCATTCTGTTCCATTGGTCTATATCTCTGTTTGGTACCCAGTACCATGCTGTTTGTTACGTAGCCTTGCACCAGTTTAAATGGCAA